TCTTTTGTTAAACATTACTGTTAAATATGCACTATTTAATTTAAAGTAATGAACATTCACCTATACGCTGATGATCTGGACACACTTTACTGTGACAAACCTTTTAAATGTACGTGTGCATGCAGTATTTGTGTGTACTGTAGCATTTTTTGCAGCTGTTTTCATGACACAAGTAGATAAGCAAACAGCTTCTTCTTACTGAAAGAAATGTCCTACATCGACTATTATGCCATAGCTAAAGTTTGCAAGCAAAGCTACATTTCATGGAATATTTTTTGAGAGATTAATTTTCCCTCTTACACCAACATATAACGTCAAATGTAAGAAATAAGCATCTGTTCATGCATTTTCTCAAGATAATCTGAGAAATGAAAATTATAGGCTATAAAATATCTCTTCTTCAAAGTCTATAAGCAGAATGTGTGTGTTTGGGTCAAAATCATGCAATATCTGTGGGGTGGAGTGTGCACCCAAGTGATCGTTTCCCTTTTTTACATCCACAATTTCTCATGGCAGAGGATGTAACTTAATTGCTCAATCTAACTGAATGAAAGCTGCTGGAAACGCCGTTCCTCAAACAAGCTGACCCTTCAGCAGAGTTGTCATTCCGCTGAGCCAGCAATTATGGCTTCTGAAGAAAATAGTGGTTGCAGGAATATTAGTACATGGTATTTGTCAATCACACACCATGATTCACATACTATGATGCCTGTGGGGATTGCAGCAAGACCCCTAAACTTTTCACTGCAAGAACACCATCGTATGATACTGTTGAAAATAAACTCCTATTTAATAAAGGTTGTGTCCAAGTAATAGTCATTTAGAAGATTACTGTTGTTTGTCTCAATAGGTGGGAGAGAGTAGGCACATTTTTACACAATTTTGCATTGTGTTAATATCTACTGCAGAATAACAGTAAAATTAATTCATCCTCACGTTAAAACATTGATATAGAGATACCAGCTAAATCAAAGGACCAGGTCAGTGCCAAAAATCTACTCAGTGCAGGCATATGTTTTTAAGGATAAATGACATAGACAAGTACATCAGGTGTAAGCATTCATTGCAGATTCATTAACAGACAACACACCCCGTTAGAAAAAAAAACATGAATGAAATGTTGGACTTTAAATTGGACTAGAAAGGATGTTGAAATTCCCTGTGAAGTTGTTGTCAGTTTTGCTATTTTCTGTGGTATCATAATAATGAATTGTCCCAAGAGCATCAGAGTCCTAGACAACATCTGGATTTTGATCCATCCAGAAGGATCCTCTGGCCAAAGTTACTTAAAAAAAAAATCCACATACACAAAAAAAACCCTGAAACATTTCACAATCAAATGTTAAAGGGGAAGTTTTGGGGGTAAATTGTTCAAAAATGTTCAAGAGAGAACTCCTGCATTATAAATCTGTGTCACCATGTTCATCTTAAAGAAATCTAGTATTAAATATTTTATTTTAAATTCACACATAGCATTTACCACTAATGTTTTTGCTTCTTGTAACATCTTATTCAAATCTAATTCATGAAAAAATAGAGAATGCTACATCTAGAAAGTTTCATTACCATAACACAAATATCTGTTCTTAGCCCTAAATTATGTATATACACCCTAAAAATACTATATTTTCATATCTTAACATTTTGAGCTAGCAATCCTGAATCAATAACCAAATAATTGTTTTGCACATCCATATATGAATGAATTTCAGAGGTCAATCTCTGTTGAGATGAGGATTGTGTGGAGCATTAACAGTAGTATACCCTATTTGTCTATTTTCAGAATAAAGAGATTAGTTTTGATTCCCCCTGGGGTCCAAGTCCAAAAAATCTGGACCAAACCAACTATGCAATTTGTTTGCTGATCTATAGTTTTAGAGGCAGAGGGTGTAGTGAAGGCTGTCCTGAATAGACCATTCACGCTGCTGTTGCCATGGATTCACAGGCCTAGGAAACACAGAGAAGCCATGTGTGTCACGATAAAAGAGTGCCCTTTGGACTCTCTGCAAGGATGTTGCACAGGCCCACTGAGGCTGAGATTAGCCTCCGGCTCCGTGCAAAGCGAAGGGCAGCGCTGGTAGTGTAGCAGCACTTGCCCTTGTCTTTCCTTACAGGCTCTCTAACAAGATGTCCCCATCTCTTTTTGTTGTAAATTGTCTCCTGCAGCTGAACGAGGTGGGGGGGTCAAGTTGGTCCACAGAAGAGCAGCCATGCTTGGATTTAAGATATGTGTAGCCACTGGGATCATGCTTACAAAAAGGTAACTGTCTCCTTTACAGACTTTTGACCGTTAGTACACTCCAGTGCTTTGGCAAGGATTTAAGCACAGATGGGAGCAGTGAGTCTTTCTGTGGCTGGGAGGATCCCATCAGGGATGGCCGAGCAGGACCGACACTTGGATCCGGAACCAGGATTGAAAAGTCCCACAGAAGCCCTATTGGCTCTTTGGATCCTCTCTCTCTCTCTCTCTCTCTCTCTCTCTCTCTCTCTCTCATCCTCCCTGCTCCAGAGGTTAAGGGAGTGTCATCACACCAACATACTGTATACACTTTTTGTCTGTCATTTAGCAGGTTCAAATTATTTTTGCTCCCACTTTCATTTGTGTGTGTGTGTGTGTGTGTGTGTGTGTGTGTGTGTGTGTGTGCTACATTGAACTATGACACACATATTTGCACTTGAGTCACCATTTTTTCATTTCATTTCCACAAGCTATATTGTAGCCTAACCTTTGAACACCAGTGGAGGTGAAGTTACTAATTGACTGTGTGTGGGCCTTTGCACCTAGCAAGCAAAAGGAGGAATACTTTGAAATACCTCCCCCTAACCCAATAAAGTCAAATCATTTTGATGTAACATCTGAATAGTGAACTGTCCAAAGTTTGGACCTTTTGCTGTCTATGCACTTTGGTTAAACATATGTATGACTCAGCTTCCTTTAGTGAACTAAAAAACAAAATTCAAAACCTACAGTAGAGACCTGTTAAAAAATTAGCATTTTACTTAGAGCTTACTGACTGAGCTTGTCAGGGATGATAAAATATGATGGAGTAACAAGACACACAATATTACTTTAACTTTCCTAATTGAAATTATATGTAATTTCAATAAAAATGGTTTAACTGTTTTCTGTGCAGACATATTGGATTTTGATTTTTCTGCCATCTAGTGGACTGAGGCTTTAATTAGACATTTCTGACTGTACTGATACAGTTTTAACTTGTTAAAGATTGTTGCAGCTGATGTTCAAAAGAGTGACACTATGATAGCTATTGTATGTTTTTGGTGAATTTAATTTAATTTAATTTGTTCACTTGATATCTTCTTCAACACTCAATTCTGAAGAAACTGCTATCTATTTTCTGAAAGATAGAAAGCTTTTTTAAAATTAATTTAAATAAAACACTGAATTGAAGTGTTGAAGAATTAGAGAACAGCAGAAGTTCCCCTACAATGAATGTCCATGCTTCAAATTGGTATTAGCACACAGAGTAAGGTGGAATATTCTGGATATGCTGCAGTGCCACCTGCTGAGACTCTAGTATCATGTACTTGCAGAAGATGCCACTTGGTAATCCGTCTAGGAGAAAGCTTCTGTGGCTTTGATATCAAATCCATGTACACAGTGATTCCTTCACAGCATCTAAATACTTCCCATGCTCAACGGTGGCATTGCGTCTGACTCTGCACAAGCAGATCTAATTTATCCTGAATTGCAGCATGCTCTTACTTCAAAATGCTTAACTACCTTGCAAAGGAACCACGTTATTAATTATCTAATAAATGTTCCAACCAGAGGTGCACGTTTATACATCATATAAGCTTTTTTCTTTTGTACACATTCGTAACCCGAAGAACAATAGAGATAAGTGACACATTTTGCACTGTGACACTGTCCTGTGCTTGTTGTGGAGCTATCACATGTGGACCTGTACACAAAGCCACATTGACAGTGCTTGGTGGAATACTATGGAAACGATGATGAAATAAACCATAAAGGGTGCTTTAACCAGAAACTGTACTAAAAGTATCATCTCCCCACACAAAACCTTGTTCAAACAGACATGCACCAACTGTCTGTGTGTTGGGGTAGGGGTGTCGGGTGTTCTAATGTGTGAACCTGATTGATTGATACACTCGCTTGTATTTGGTCAGAAACCATTAGTAACGACTAAAATCTGGAGCATGTTCTCCAATTTGCATGCTAAAGAAAAGAGTGCTGTTCTGTTGATGGTTGTTTCATCTGTTTGGAGGTTTCAGCACACAGAAAAGCACGATGGATTTGAATGAGTTGACTCATTACAATTTCTCAAACTTGGAGCTCAATGCTGGAAGTCATCGCTTTACTGTAACATTCATATCTCATGTAACATTTTGTTCAGAGAAATATTAGGCCTGACTGTTGAATGTTTACAGACAACACAATCAGTTAAGTTAAAAAAAATGGCAGAAAAATATGGTGAAATGGCAAAAACATGAAACCAGTTAATAACCTACCATCTCTAATGGTGCATGTCTAAGTGATGTATGACAAGTAATAATGTTTTGATTTCTCATCTCCCTCCCCCATCCTCCATTTGAAATTTGACGATTGAAATGCTGGTCTGTTTGTGCAACTTATCACCGAGCTTTGGCCTTGACACTGACAGTCACTCTGGTGACAAGCACAGATTGTGTGCACACATGCAAAAACTATTACATCTTTCCCAGAATAACAAGATGACAGTAGGAAACAATCTTGTTGTCTTTCATTCTTTCAGTCCACAGAGGAGACATAGGTATGTGTGCTCAAAATGTCACACACTGATTAAACATTAAGCCATGGTGTCCGTCAAAAGGGAGGAGTCTCTCTGTGGTCAGAATAAATGTTTGCCTGTTCAGTTCTCCCTCTGGTATATGCGTCTGTGACTGCTGACCTGATGGGAAAGAGACACAACATGAGATCAAGCACAGGTAATATGTTCAAACCTCTCAAAACGTACTAATCTTTGTTTTCCAGCCATCTTATATGAGCTGTCTCATTTAAGTTGTATTTTTTGGCCATAAAGTTTGTAATTATAATAATAATTTCTTTCTTTTTTTTATATTTTGAACTCTCATTGTATTTATAATACCTGTCTTTGTATTCTACGTGCTGCATTCCACGCCAAATTTGTATAACACAGTGTTAACAACCTTTGTCTATGTCTATGTCTAATTAAATATAGATTTTAAATAGAACACTTGACTTGATTTCTATACCTTGACAGAAATTCAATCTGTCTGTTTAGATAACAACTCAAAACTCTCATCTTTAAGAAGAAAGCCAATTGCTACTATTTAAGTGACCTAGCTGAGCTTCAGCAGCTTGTCCTTGTGTGTATATAGAGGATCCCTATGCCCTAGAACATTTGAAAGAAGGTTTATGGTGGGGAAAAGCAAACAGTGACCCATTAGCTGTACCGAAGTGCCTGCGTATAAGCTATTCAGGAGAAGGGCTGCTTAGCCACATAGATGTGATGTGAGAGATGGATTTCATCTGGGAGCAGAGAGTTACTAAGAGTGTTACATTATTACAACAGTTTGTTTTTGTTTCACACTGTGTCGGAGAAACAAGGACACAGTGTCACTGACATGATGAACCAAACAGATAAGCAGTGTAGAGGACAGTGGTGGTTTAGTGTATAAGCTGTTTTTGTTCCTCCTAATGTAGTGGTTCAAATATAACAAGGACAGAGTCAGTAAATTTAAGAAGGTGTGGATTTTTTGGAGTGCGTCATTCCATGAGACTGCTGCACAAACAGCAGGCAAATTATCCTATCAATTCTGCTTCAAGGCTGCCTGAGCATCAACCAATCACTGGAGCAGGCTAAGTACAGGCCAGAGTGCCATTGCAGTCAGGATGAGATATGGCAAGGGCCACTAGTTATTACTTCTCTCAGACAGGGAAGGCCAGCTAACTTTATCATACAGATCGCAGTGGCGAGTGTCTTAATCACCGCCAGTAATGAACCTGTGAGCAGAGTGGTAAGTGGAGTCTGGAGCCTCAGACTGGAGGCAGCAACATGTTGACATCCCCAAAATCCAGATCTGAGAGGAAACTGCAATCCTCTTTCTACAGCTGAGGGGGAAGCTGCTTCGACTTCTGTACAACAAGCCTAGCTTCAGTCACAGTTTATCAACAAGGTTTTCTATGTGATATTTCAATCTAAATGTCTAATTAAGCCAGATGCCAAGATATTATATTCTGTGACCCTCTCACTGTTAAACAGTGTGTGTAAATCTATATCTTTGCATCTAGAGAATAGCATGAATATTGTCTAATTTTGATTAAGTACTCATTTAATATTAATACATGCATATTACAATGTATTAAAGCTGAGAGCTGTAATTTCTCTATGGCTAATGGGACAGAAACAGTAACACGGTATAAAACAGTATCGCCTGTGTAAACGTACATTTTACACTCAGACACAGAGGAGGCAGCCTCATGGCGAACAGGACAGGGCCCAATATGGATCCCTGCAGCACACAACTTGGATACTGGATAATAATGAAAGAAAATGAATGAATAAAATGTGATGACTCAGTCATATTGGTCATGTAACAGGGATGTTTTTTTAAACCCATGTGGTGTCATAAACTGACATAAGCGTATACATTGTTCTTGCCCCTTAATGAAGGGCAACGCTCTGCCAAATGGGAAATTGTTAACCATAATGGTTTTATTTCAAGTCTGAAGGGTATTTGTCTCTGATAAAATTTCAGCATTTCAGTTGTCCTGATGCAATAATCCACCTAGAAACTAATGTTTATTTATGTAAGTGCCACGCAGGTCCTACCAAGTTTTAATTCTTTATCTGTTACATATTCACTAGACATTTGCAACTTTGAGGTTTTTCAATGTTCTTTAATTCACTGCCCTTCTAGAGAGGACAAAGACTAAAGATAATCACATAAAGTCAAACCCAGTTTTATGGTGCCTCAGCTGATAGTTAAAGTCAGCAGATACGTCATCCAGGGCTCAAATACCAGCCTGTTTCAACGTGTTTCACAGTTTAGTAGACAAAGCCACGGAGAGATTCACTGAGCTGTAAGTTCAAATTAATGTATCATAATGTAACTGACAGTTCATCATACTGAGATATAATATCATGACTGATTTGTGTTGCTATGCTGTAAAATTTGATCCGGGGTGTGCAGTATCAATGCAGATTAAAAATAAATATGGTAACTAGATCACATATTTGAGTAAATATGGTAAATATGTATGGAAATATGTCAATATTGAATTTCACAACCGTATTCTGCTAAAGCCAGTTAATCGATATGATCTGTGTTTTTCAAGGTTTGGTGGAAATCATAGGGTTGACAGAGTAAGTCTGCTTTTCATCTTTTCATCTTCTCATCTTCTATCTCATTTATACGTTTTGAAATACTCTCATTATTTCACTGTCAGTTTGAACTTAAAGACTATGCTGTCACTACTTACAGAAATAATGTTAAGATGATCTGGCATGCCATAGAAAAACAGAATTACACAATTCATGTACCAAAAACTCTACCTATATATATATATGTAATTGACTTGGCTTGGCATGTTGACTTTTGGAACGTAGTAATCTTTAAGACTTTGGGCCCAAGATAAGGCCTACCGTACACAGGTAAGTGCTGTTGTAATTCCCATGTGAGGCTGTGTAATTAATCTGCACTAAAAAATGTAATGTAATTCTAATTGATACAATTGATCGATTACTTTCATTAAAATGTAGAAAAGCAAATATGGCAATTTTCCTGCGTAGTAAATTTCCCTGGTAACTTTATGTTTAGAGCATCACTTTTCTTTTATACTTTTTTCCCTATACCAACCAATTTACCTAATTTCATAGTCAATATTTTGTGACTGAAAAGTCTCTCATTTATCTTTTTGCAGGAAATTTACATTTAATCCTAAAGAGGGAATAGACAACCCAGTGATGGTCATCACAGACGACGCAGGTATGCTGCATACACATTTCTAATTATCTTGTGCTCAGAGAAGGTATGACAGCACTTCTCTGTCTCTTCCTGCTCAGACTCTGTGTCAACACCCAGCCCACGTCTGTGTGTTCTTAAACGAGAGGAGGGGGAGTCCTATGGCTTCCATCTGCGGGTGGAGAGGGGACGTCAGGGCCACATAATCAGAAATGTAGTGTCAGGAGGTGTTGCAGGGCGCAGTGGCCTTCAAGATGGAGACAGGCTTCTGGAAGTCAACAACTGCTATGTTGATGATGTTCCTCACCCTGAGGTAAGATGAGCTTCCTACATTATTAAACCTACAGAAGCCTCTCCAAAGGACTGACTGTGAAACTACTGTGTGTCCCTTTTTATGAATCAGGTGGCCAGGAAGATAAAGATAAGTGGACACCAGTTATGTTTATTAGTGTTGGATGGGGAGGAGTATGAGCAGGCCGTGTCCCGAGGTCAAGACCTTCGGGGTCGGGCCAGAGCGCACAAGGGAGAGAGCTGCAAACCACCCAGACTCTGCCACATCACCAGGGATCCTGTCTCAGGTCTGGGCATCAACTTCACACCCGTGGAAGGTAACACTAATCCTGGTAATCACAAGTCCAAGGTTTCAGATTAGATGTCTATCAGAAGGACGTTAAGTTGAAGTCTGTGAAGTGTTACGCAGTTTCTCCTCCTGTTCCTTCTCTGTAGGAGAGAAAGGTCGCTTCTCTGTGAGCCTGGTTACAGGAGGTGCAGCTGAAAAGGCAGGGGTGCAAAAAGGAGATCGCTTGGTTTGGATGAACGGAGCAACAGTGTCCGATCTCACACACTCTGCACTCAGTAGGATGGTAGGAAGTCAGCCGGTTTATAATCAAGATTAAAAAAGTAAAGTAGCTCTTCTGCTGTACTTTGTTTTGTTGTCATGTACTCCAAAACTAGATATCAGACTTATTGCAACAAACTTATTACAACTGATAAATATAAGAAATCTTTAAAAAGTACACAAACAGCTGATCCTCAATTCCAAGATTACTGTATGTCCAGCCTTTGTCTAGCAGTAATAAATAATGTTTTGCTGTAGATGAAAAAATGTGGCAAACACATCACACTCCTAGTGATTGATAGCGAGAGTGAGAAGAACTACATACGAGAGAGGATGCCCATCCTGCCCACCATTGCTGTTCCACATAACCTTCCTTATAGAGCCAGAAAACTCCACCTGGTCTGTGGGCCCGAGGGCTACGGCTTCCTCCTTCGGCTGGAGAAGGCGCCATCAGGACGCATATGTGAGTGAGAGGACAAAAAGAGCTCAAAACCCAAACACAGACATTCCAGACTCTAGTCTTTGACTTCAATTTCTATGTATGTTTGAATAATAGCTCATGTTCTGCGTGAGATGGACAGGGGCAGTCCAGCAGAGAGGGCAGGTATGCGTGATGGAGAGCTGCTGCTAGAGGTCAATGGAGAGTCAGTGGAGTCACTGAAGCATGAGGAAATTGTGGACAGAGTGAGACTGAGTGGACAACAGGTCTCCCTCACCATCATCAGTCCCCAGGGGCTGGAGTTCTACACCCAGGTGGGCATCACCTACCAGATACATGTCTATTCCAAAACACACACAAAAAAAAACACCAGAGCCATGTCTAAAATCCACATCCAGATAAAGGTCAGTGTTTATGGTTTCTTTCCTTTATCTTGTCTCTGCAGTTGGGTCTATCACCTCTTCTCTTCTGTGAAGATGATGCTGATGAGAGAGAAAAGGAGAGCAGCACACCAGCCTCTGAAGCAGAGCACACACCACAAAAGGAAATGGATGGCTCGGGAAAACCCAGACTCTGTTCTATCCGGAAAGGCTCTTTGGGGTTTGGCTTTAACCTGGGCTGTGTCCCACAGAGTCCTGAGACCTTCATAAGCCAGGTGGGGGTTCAATAATGTTATACGCTTTGTCAACATTACTTTGTTACTAAGGCAAAAAGAACAAGAAGAGAGCAGTTCAGGATATTATTATTTTTTTGTTGAATGTGGTGTTAGATTGTGCTTTTTCCCCTGTAGGTGGCTTTTGGGGGCTCTGGGCAGAGTGCAGGATTGCTTGTGGGTGATGTGGTGATAGAAGTCAATGGACAAAATGTTGAGGAGAAATGTCTGGAAGATGTTATAATGCTTGTGAAGGAAGGAGGACATTTCCTTTCCTTACTAGTCATGGATAAAACTGGCTACAACAAGTCGAGGCAGACTGACACACCTACCAGAGATATCAATGACAGTGAGGTAAAAAAGCTTTTGAAAGATTATATCTATTACACAATCTATTTACAAAACTATCGCTTCATTATTGATCACAATGTTTACCATAATTTCTTGTTTGTATCTCAGCAGGAGGAAGACAATTATGAGATATCATGTTTGTGAGCGACAAAGATACCATGTACCTGCTGGAGAGACTTCAAAATGAGCTGATCAAGAAAACTAACATCATCATTATTATTATTATATTATTCAAGATTGCCTTAATCTAATGCCAGGCTTTTGAATACAAAAGATGAAACACATAAAATAAGCTAAATTAAACTGTAACAGTGTCAGTTGTACAAATCACAAAGAAATGTTATAATGTGTATTTATATTTGGTATAAAAATGTATTTTGGTTCAGTATTACAGATCTAGATAAGAAGAACATTTAAACAATTTCCACATATGATCTTAATATAAATTAATTTAAAAAAATTAATAATCACAGAATAAATCAAATACTCCACGGCTTAAAAAAAACAATCTCTTAACTAAATGTCTTACTGTACTAATATGACTGTAACCCAGCAGAAACTTCCAGCAGCATTTTTTAAAGGAACGAAATGAGTAGCAGCAATATAAAGTACTGGTGATAAATGACCAAGATGTTGATGTTAATTGTATTGTTTCATGTGGGAGTGGGGGGTTATATGTATGTGTTTTTCGTATTACATATAAAACATTACATATAAATGTTTGTATTCTTGCAGAGAACGTGTATGTTTATTGAGAATGTAGCTGACAGCAGATATAGAAGTGACAGAAGAAAAAAATCTTTGTTTTATTGTGTAACCTGTTCAGGTGTAATCTTACCTGTGTCACCAAATGTGAATGATATTCACCAAATGTTTGCCACGTTGAACTCCCAAAACATTCATAACCTAATACAGAATACACAAAGCCATGTGAAAAATGGATTAAAGCATACAAGTTTCTTGACTAATGTAAAAGTGGTGGTACATAATAAGAGTTTAGCAGAAAAGCCTAGATTTTCATGTAACTGATCTGACCAAATATATTACAAGACTTAATGACTATAACATCATTTGGTGGTGTTAAGATGAGTGAGATGTGTCCCTGGTGATGTATATATGAATACATTTATGTTGCCTACAAAAGTATTACTGACTTGGAATGGTTCTTATAACATGTTAAATTTCCTTAACATGATACATTTTCTTAGTCTAAGCGGAGCTGCATAATCATAGTAAAATGTCTGCCACTCATATGTATGAATGTGTATGAATACTTGAATCCCTATTTAAATGTCTTTAATTAATGTTAGAATATCTATTAATCATCTTTATCTGATATATTAACATTAGTAATTAGTAAAATAAAATGTGAACCATAGTCTATGATGTTAGCCATCAAACAAACAATACGGTTTACTGCACCCTCTATTGGTCATATGGCAAAAATGTAGCTTGTGCATTAGCTGTTTGACTTTAATTAGCGATATTAACTACTAAATTAAGTCACTGAACTGTAACGCTAAACATTGTAGGGGCATTGTATTAAAATATCAAAAATCAAAATACGTCCAAATATCGTACGCCCTCATAAACATGTCACTGTGGCGTCATAATTATACAATAGGGTCTGACCTCGCAGGCTGTTTCTGTACAGGCACTTGTGTGGACAGCTGCAGCAGCGGGTCCAGGTCCTGGAGGTGACATTCAGCTGGGGAACAGTTAGCATCGACAAACGCATCAACATGGCACAGGCAGTGCAAAAAATGGTCGCTAAAGTACCTACCCTGGTCGGCGGTAAGTGAATTTGTTGTGCTATTAATCATAATATGTATCCAGTGACGTGGAACTAAATTGTAGGTATGAAATTTACTCTAATCTGTATTGATGTGACGGAGCTAGCTAGGCCGACGCTGTCAATTACAACGAGACTCAGACATCGATTGAATGAAGTAAATATAACACTAGCTAATGCTGTTTGGTGCAGTAAAAGCTGAATTAAGATTTCACATTGCTTTACTCCCTTTGACTACACTGCTGTTCTGCTAGCTATCCCGTGTGGTTTGTATTGTTTACACGCATTAAGCATAAGCCGTATAGCGGTGTGCCTAATGCAGGAGCAGCTCTGTTGTAGCACTTTAGCTTCAGCCGCAGCAAAGATAAGTTGCAGTAAGACTCACCATAATTACAATATTTCTTCTCTCCTAGCCGCTATCACCTACTCCAAACCTCGGCTAGCGACCTTCTGGTACTATGCCCGCGTTGAACTTGTCCCCCCCAGCCCTGCCGAGATCCCCAAGGCCATCGAGGGGGCCAAAAATCTCATCAAGGCTGTCCAGTCAGGACGTCTCGGTCAAACCACAGTGAAGGTGCGTGTGTTATTGTCAGACAGACATTGATGTTTGTGTGTGTGTGTGTGTGTGTGTGTGTGTGTGTCTCTCCAGTGTTTTTTAGTGCTTCACTATCAGTGGGTCAGAGTCACTATATCCGAATCGTTTTCTGAAAAGGTAAAATGTGTGACAAACAGCATTATAATGAAGTACTGCAGAGCTGCAGAGATGCCCTGTCCTTCACATCTGGTTCTCCAGATTTATGAAAACACGTTTGTTTGGTACAGACCTCAACAAATTTCACATCATCACGATTTTGTGATGCTAAAATGATAATTCCCACAATAATTGTGAGTCATATTGCAATATCTGTCTAAATAATTGCAATATGAGTATATGAGTATAAAGTAGATCAAGTATTTGTTATCAAAAACCTTTTTGATGTGCCATATAATTAAAAAAATCCAATTCCAGCATCTAAATGTTCTCAAGACTTGTGGTAGCTGTATGGGGGGCGTTCATGGTAACAAGAAGTGGAGGCTTACTGATATCCTGATAGAAGAGGAAACATATTGAACATGTTGCCATAGATGTTTGACTCAAATGGCGAACTGTAAAACAGAATGCAGTTTGTTGACCAAAATTGATTTCTTGAATTCTAAATGTCCTTTCATCATAAAGGTTTACCAAAAGTTCACTGATGATAAAAAACAACAAATGACCCACTTATTCTGTGTAGAGACCAGCCGTGCAAATTGTTATAGTTTTATTTACCAAATTGTCAGATGTCCACCCCAGGACAGTGGATGTGAGTGGAACCTTTGCTTTTGTGGTGCTTTTTGTACTAAATAATAAAATAAAATATAAAAATATATATTGTGAATTGTATTTTTAATTTTTTTTCCAGATAGATTGTCTTGGACCTCATTGAGTACAGTTGTCTTTTTTACTTTTTTACTATGTAAACTGTTTACAGGAAGGTTTATGGACAGGGGTGGAAGCCAGAATCTCTGCAGTATTGCTCACAAAAATAATTTTGTCATAAATCTCCCAATCTTTTTTTACTTGTATATAAGCTATGGGTTTAGAGATTTTATAGACTGCTTGAGGAGATGTTATGTAATCATAAATGGTTATTGATCCCTCCTGGTGATGAAGAAAATTTGAGTTTGCATCATTTACAGGTGTCTACTCTGCAACAGCAAACCGTAACCCATTACTGACTCAAATAAATATTCATGTTGTCCAAATTAAGAGAAAGAGAGAAACATTTGTTTTAAGTTCTAATGGACCGGGACATAAAACATAAACGTAAAATGCTTGTGTATTCTTTGTTCAAGTCTATGCTGTATGAAAGGAAATTAAATCAGTGCTCACAGAAAACAATGACAGGAAATTGGTCGTCAGTGGCTAATATCACATTTACTTTTTCAGAAACAAATCTAATGCAGTTTTGTTTTCTCACAGGATGCTTTTAGGAATGGACTGGTGGCCACAGAAGTGTTGATGTGGTTCTACATTGGAGAGTGCATCGGCAAAGGGGGCCTCATTGGCTATGATGTCTGAATTTTGGACTGTCATGCTTTTCTTTCTTCATGGACGTTGTATGCTCAACTCTCTGCAAGACTCCTGGGAACCAATAAATAGATGTGTATTGTTTAACACTTGATTTCTGAGTCCTTGCATTTAATATAACATGTATGTGACAAACATGAAAATACAGCAAAAGGAAATATGGATGATGGAGTCTACAATACTTTCTACACCAGGAAACTTCAGTGTGTTAGGTGGAGAAGGGTTTTTGTTATAATTCACACACAGGACATTTTGACCTGCCGCAGCAGGAAAAGCTCAGATTTAAATATGAAAATAAATCATTGCATTGCGTACGCTGGCTGTCATATAGCGTAGACATTGTTATTGGTATTGGTAATACCTGTGCTTTTCCTACAGGTTAAAATGTCTGTCAAAAATTGAATCCTGTGGAAAGTTCTGCTGAAAAATATATGAAGAAACAGATTACTGTCCCACCGCTCTGCATATGACTGTTGCACACCCCACCTCTCTCTTAATAACTACTTTGGATTTGCACTTGATCATGTTTGTGCAGTAAAATGCAATCTTGATTTTTACCCCCAAAGATAAATTACTTAAAAAGCTGGTTTTATACATAAATAAGTGTGCATGAAAATTCTGTGGTCTATAGTCAAAACATTTTTCAGTTAAATTCCTGTAATCAACCAACAGAGGGAGCCGTGAGTATTGTCTCTGTTCAAGTAGTAGAACTATTTGTTTCAGAGCAGGTGGTTTGGTTGTTCACATACCAGTCAAATACTTTATCTAAGCAAAAGTTCAAATGATATCTCTGTTACAGATTCCTTTGACATTCTTTTAGACCACAGCTTTGTTAAAGCACAATCCAATAAGACTATATAGATAGAATATAGATCAGAACTATTTGGTCCTGGGGTGCCTGGTTAGCTCAGTGGGTAGAGCTGGCAACCCATGTACTGAGGCTGAGTCCTTGTTGCAGCGGCCCAGGGTTCAAATCCGACCTGTGGGCTCCTGCTGCGTGCGTGCCATCCCCTCCCTCTCTGTGCCCCCCATCTGTCCTCAGCTGTCCCATCAAATAAAGGCAATAAAAGCCAAAAATAATACTTAAAAAAACAATTTGGTCCTTATGTTTTTATGCAGAATAAACACAACACTCAATTCATTCATTTAGCTCTTTATTTTGAACTATTGATGAATAATTTTGTTACAAAACAAGTCTTTTGATATCAATTATACTCTGTCCATTATATAAGTAAACATACATAAAATTAAATAAGGGGTTAGTTCAAGTGAAAAAAACTGTAAGGACTCTCAGCAACTGATATGGCAACGATCAGATAATATCGGAACATGGCAAAATGAAATGACAATGAAATGTTCTTCTAAATGTGTTGAAACCATAACAATACCTGTTCACGCACCAACATGAACATTATTATATTACTCATACCGATCATAAGAGTGCAATATATTTTAAATTAATTTATGCAATAATATTGGCCATGAATGTGATGACCTATCATAAGCAAATGTACCTCAGGTTACATTCATTATGACTTATAATAACATCATCACTTGAGATATGATATATGTTCATAAAGCAATAGTTGTGTAAAAATATGATGGTACAACTATCAGTGGGAACATATAACATTTACAGGTTTAGCTCAGTAAGACTAATTTATTACATACTGACATGTTATAATATTATCCATCAGTTCTTATCAGATGCCAAAAGGGATAACACTTATTTATATTGTATTTGTGTGATTATGTAATAGTTATTTATTTCAGTAATGTCATTTGACAGTACAAGGCCAAAAGCAATAAGTGATGTGTAGAGTTAAAAAAGCAACTTCAATAATGTGGTTTGGTACAGTTTCAAAAGGTTGCAAAAATATATATTCCAAAAGCACTGCTGTATATTAAGAAAAACACGTGGAAAATATTTTCAGATTCTCAAATAAGAGCTCAAATATTGGCTCACTTGACATTGCAGATCTTGACTGAGGTTCCAACTCCAAAGCCTGGATAGAGTGGCTCAACAAATGTGGTCTCAAACCTGTGCAGGAGGGTCATGGTGTTGCTTATGCTATAAAAAGCCAGCACACCCGCAGTGTGGTCTAGGTACACGCCTATCCTGGGGGAGTGGGGGGCGTTGATGGCTTTGTCCACCCGGTTGTGCCAGGCAGAGTAACCTGTGTCGGAGCAGAGGAGACTCCAGGATTTATCGTTGTAGCCCAGCAGACACAGTGAGCCTTTGCCCTTCCGGCTGATGCTCCTGTAGGCCACTCCGATGGAGAACTCCCCGCTCCACTCGATCTCCCAGTAAAAGCGGCCTCCGGACAGGGCCTCCCGACACAGCACCTGGGCAAAGCTGTCGAACCTCTCTGAGTTGTCCCCGTAGGGCTGCAGGTCCCTGGTGCGGATGACTTTTCTGCTGCTTTCAGAGATGTACAGCTCCTTGTAGGCTGTGTTAGGGTCCAGTTTCAGCTGGCAGAAGTCTGGAGGAGAGACATATTGATAATATTCATTTGATGTTACAGTTAAATTGTCATATTTCAGGTAAATACACCAGATACTTACATTTCACAAAATCAGTTCTGCTCTTTGGCTCTGGAGGAGTGTTGTCCACTGTCATTTCTTTGCCTGCACATGAAGAAACACTGTGTTAGGTCAATGTGAACTTCATCTACCCACACACATGCCTTTAATTCTTTCTGTGTTTTTCTGCTGTGTCTTAACCAGAAGAACGTATGATGCAATTGCTTTGTGGTTCCAACAATTCATGGCAACTGCATTATCAACCTAAATAATAATTAACCTCCTACAGTCTGATATTGCTATAGGACGTGACAGTACTCACCTCTGCTCCTTCTGTCCAATGTTCGACTTTCTGTAGTAGTGTACACCGGGACCTCATTCACTATAAGATAGAACACAATCACACTTAGCAAACTGAGTAAGTTGGTGTTGCCATGCAGAAGTACTGTGTTTCTGCTGCTAAGGTCAGACCTGACTTGGAGATATTAAGCAGCTCTTCTCTGCCAAACTCCTCCAGGCGTTCCTTGATCACGGCCACAGCTTTCCTGACGGCCCCGAAGGAGAAGTCAGGGTTCACCGTCACTCTGGGTATGAAGCCGTCATCAGTGGGGGTGCAGAGGTAGTTGAAGTTCTGATGGGAAAGGAAAAGCAAGTGTCATGACGAGGACAGAGTTGACCTAATTAATTTTTTAAATTCTTTTACACATGAATGGATTTAAACTTTTTAAAACATCACTCTGGAGTTAGATTAATATTTTTTGTCCTTCCAAATGTCCAACCTCCATATTATGAGTAATATATCAAAGTGCTGCTATTAATGCCTCTTCAAGTGGTTGTTTAGAAATTCCGGTCATTGTGATTATGGACAACCTGTCTAAGTAAGCTGTCTTATTAAAAAACACCCATATGTATACTGACTGGTATTAGGCCTGAATCAAAATAAAAATGCAAAGTCACAATAACACAAAAAAATCACTCATTCTACTGTGTCAGCACCATCATACTACATTAACATCATGAAATGACAAGTCCAGATGTATGTCTTCCTCAAAAGTCGCTCTAAAGCTGTGTGTTACCTGCAAAAAGTGGATGTGGTCATCAGTGCTGTACAGCTGCTTGAGGCCGGATTCCTTTTTCTTCAGCTCATCAATCTCTTGTTCTAGCCGCTCGATCAAAGCCTCGGCCTGGTTGAAAGCAGCCTTCTCGTTGATGCCAATCAACTTGCTCACCTCTGACCTCATCCTCTCAATGGAGCGGATCATGTCCTCAAACATCTTCTGGCTGTCCACCATGGCTCTCTGGGCCGAGTTCTGGACACAACACTCAAAATGTCAGTGTTTTATACATGAAACTGTGTAGTCAGTGCCTTAAAGCTTCTTTTTTTGCATAGAAATACATAAAATGAAATTTACAGTTTTAAATATGAATAATCAAGAAAGTTGGTATGGTGGAAAGGTACGACATATTATGAACATATAATCCTCACCTTCAGTGAATCCACAGCAGTCTTCAGCTCCTCCAGCTCCTTCATCCTCTCCTGGCATTTCTGTCTAATCTCCGCTTGAGAGATTCCCAACAGTTTCTGCAGAATAAAGGGATATTACACAGCCATCTATTTCACTGTTTTGTCAAGCATGCAACCGCACGCTGACTGCCTGTACTGGCTCTCTTTAATTTATTATGCATAAGATGTAGTGATGCCATGCTGTTTTATTGTATGACATATAAAGCCTCACATTTGTTGGCTCGCTAAAAACATTCTTTCTCATCAAGGATATCTGGGGAGGCCCTTCGGCATGTCTAATAAACCCGACTCAAAGAATCTTCTTAATACGGCCGGCTTTTATCTCGGGGGGGGGGGGATCTGTAATGGAATTCTGGCCATGTTAGGAATGTGAATCTACCGCTGCCTGACTTTTAAAGAGATGTTTCAAGGTGCACACAGTACTGACGTGCAGAATAGAGGGCTTCTAATTCAGCTTTTACTCAAGCCCACCAACCCATTCTTCAAGATAAGCTTGAGGAATGCGGGGAATGAACATGAGAGGGGGAGGGGAGAGAGAGCGGGAGACGGAGTGAGATGTGTGAGACAGGTTGTAAATCTTTGGATGAGAGAAACCAGACTCCCCGTATTGTAAAGAAAACAGCAGGAAGAATTATAACTTCATCATGCCCATATTCCGGACTGCCATAAAAACACTCCTTATAGATTACTCATGCATAAAAAGCATTATTGCTCTGAATGATGCAGATTTATACGACAGTACCTGTTGACAGTCTTATCTCATCTACATAGTTTTTACAGGCAGTATGATTGGTGAGTCGTTTGCATTGTGAATGTGCATTGCCGTGGTTACAACATTGCGATTGGTTTATCATGAGGTGTTGGATGGCCTTGACTCCCTGACATTCCAGTATCATTACAGACCAACTCCCACAGGTGGAAACCAATGCAGCAGAAGGAAGTCTCTGGTTTCTGTGTAACTATCCCACAGCTGAAACACCACATTCTCCGAAAAGCACCTTTCACTCAGACACTCCCCCAGCCTCCATACAGCTAATCAGAGAGCTGGATTTATTTTGGCGGTGAATGCCTGCCAGTTTAGCTGATAGTGTTGGTGAAATGGGTCAAAGTACAGCCGCCAGTCACAGTGCAGGGGCAGGAGTTGGGAAAAACAACCTGTTTGCTTTCACTCAAAATACTCCAATGACTGCATGCTTCTAATGTATCGAGGATGTGCCTCTTTTTAACAGTTAATGTGTCTAAAAAAAATATTAGAGTTGACTTAGCAGAGGAGTTTTAGCTGGATTCTCTCATGTAACTGAATATACTGCTTATCTTTATGACATGAAATCACACTTTCATTCTCTGAGAGGCTAACTTAAAGTGACTTTTCTAACAGGTGAACAGTACTATTCCTGTGCCATTGAGAATTTAGTCTATAAAACAAACAGAGACAGGAGGATTTCTTACCTGCTTCTCACCCCTTTCTGCCTCAGCAGAGACAATGTCATGGCCCCTGTGTTCACTTACTGTGCAGATAGCACAGATACACATCTGGTCTGTTCGGCAGAAGAGCTCCAGTGACTTCTGGTGCTGCGGACAGATCTTCCTGTCCAGGTTTCCCAGCTCGTCCACAAGCTTGTGCCTTTTGAATGTGGCTGATTCATAGTGTGGCTTCAGGTGCTTCTCGCAGTAGGACGCCAGACAGTTGAGACAGGACTTCACAGCCTTTAATTTCTTTCCAGAGCAGAAGTCACAGGGGACGTCACTCGGCCCGGCGTAGAGGTTCCCCTGGGACGTGTTGAGGTTGAGGGTCAAACCACTCTTCTTGATCTTCTCAGCCACCATGCTCAGAGTGGCGTTGGGCCGCAGTACAGGCCTCTGGGTGAATGTGATCTTACACTGGGGGCAAATGTAAATCCCTGTGTAGTCAGCCTCATTCCAGTAGCCACTGATGCAGTCCATACAGAAACTGTGGCCACAGGGGATAGCCACAGGGTCCCTCAGAAGGTTCAGACACAGGGAGCAGCTGAAATAATCTGGAGAAGTGTGATCAGCCATTGTGATGGGCTCAAAACACAGTCAGACCTGTGGAAAAAAGACAGAGAGTGCCAAGAGCAGATAGAGATTCCGTCGAGTGTGCCTGGGAGCCCGCCCTCAAGAGTGTGGTACAGCCTGCAAGAGACAGGACCTACTTGTATTTCTGAATTCCAGAGGTTATTGATTGAAAGCAGACAAGGCCCTCCCCCTGTGCTGTGAGTATATCGAGCCCTGCCCAGTTCAGATAAGCAGGTTGAGCAAGGAGGGAGAGGGAGAGAGAGGGCGGGCTGACAGGAGAGGATAGAGAGTGAGTGTGTGTGAGTGAGAGAGAGAGAGAGAGAGAGAGAGAGAGAGAGAGAGAGAGAGAGAGAGAGAGCAAAAGAGAAAGAAAATGAATGAAATGTAAAAAGCACAAAAAGAAGTGACGATTAATGTAGCTAGAAAAGCTTCCATTATCCTCAGAGTTTCCTTTATTCTCAAATTCCTCATGTGGCTCATCTGTGGACGAATTGCGCACACACTTCTCGGCAGCTGTATTTCCACCTATTGTTGTCAGACAGAATCGCCATTGTCTTAAACCGGTTATAGTCCGACAAACATAAATGCAGCCTAAGGTACTGTAGGAATTTAAGGGACCACCCAATAAACAAACAGAGACACTCTGAACTCAAGCAGAGTTTCAAAGTAATTTCATACATTGCTCCATGCTTGCTCTTTCTTATCACCCAAAAGTTTAACTTGCTGTAGGCAATTTGCCCAAGAGCAGCCAGTGTTCAGAGCTGCAGTATTTACACTGTGTCCAGTCAGACCAGTCGGGTCACTTCCACAACTCAGTTTGTAACTGTAGATGAAGATGATTGTGCAGCAGGAGAGAAATATTCATGCTTCAGACACCAACCGGAAACATTCACACGCACGGGTACGTGTACACATACAGGAACATTCCTGCCAGGTCCAGGTGTGTTGTTACAATGGATGGTTTACATATTTGTGTACATGTTTCATCACAAGTTAGGTTGTGTTTTGTCACTTCTAAAAATGTCCCTCTCATCGTTGCCTAATTTTGCCCTGTGACCTTGACTCACTCTGCAACATGAAGTGCCTGCTGACGTCATAGCCTCTCATTAACATTTCAATCACCCCTATTCTACTGAGTTCTACCAAAACTAATGCCCCATTCACAGTAGCTTTCTCTCAGTCTTTATTAGAGCCCACACTGTAAAGAAACTCTTGCTTGAAATAAAAGTTTTATATTTTGCATTTCCTGCCTGATGCGGAATCATGTAGCAAAAAATAAATATGAATTATTGGTTGTAAAAAGTACATTGGCTCCACCTTCAATTCATATCTTGCATTACTTCATACACTTGGTAGTTTCACCCCTCCATATTTGGTCAGGTTTCTGATAAGCCAGTTTTCCTTCCTTCCTGCGGAGTAAAGGGAGCACTCTGCACTTACAGATTAACTACCTGCTACTTGCAAGGGCCACTAACAAGGGACAAAACTCTGAATATAGCTTTGATTTACTTGAGAATTTCTAACTCACAACAGAAAAGTAAAGACTTATAAAGTGCACATGTCCACAAATGTTTATTTCTTTGAGAATGGTCATGTTTATGATACAGTCTCTCTAAAAGAGTAGGAAGTCCCAGTGTTCTTTGGTGAAGCAGACAGAAACTCCACAGTCATAATATCTCACTACAAGTTCAAGGAGAAAGGTCAACCTTCATTAAGGTGTGGTGAGTGTGCTTTTTGCAGGGTGAGTGGAGGAGAACACAAATGGCTATTTGATCAAAGGAAACAAGGGCCCATGTCACTGAGTGCGAGTATAATAAAGACAGGAGGACACAATATTTAACCATGCTATGAGCGTGTTATGGGAACACATTTGATGACACTGGTAGATGTACAAAGACGAAGAGTACTGAAACAGACCAAGTGTGAATGAAAAAGCTGCACACTGCTAGTAAACATCAGTGTCATCACGACAGCCTCAGCCAGGAGATGGCCAAAAACTAGCTCAGTGTCTATCAGTTGCATTCAAAGTTCAAATAAAAACTGTAGTAATCCCAAAATAGTAGTCTCACATTTCCATGGTGTCATGATGACAATATGTAGATTTGACATAAAATACAAAACAGCCTGGTTATATTTGGGTGTAGTAGTTACATAGTTTGCTGAAAATATACATTTGACCCAAAAGACGGACAATGGGTCTCGTGCAATAGATTGATAAGCATGATAAACAAAGTTAGTTAGTCAGCCAAAACAGCATCAAACCTGAGCCCTTGACTTAGAAACTCATGGGAAGTTCAGGGAAAACATTTTTGTGTTTTGCAACACTTTTAAGTATAGAAAATGGGGTCACATGTAAGTAATGTACACGTGGCAGATCATTCATTTGATCATGTTTGTTTTCATAAGCCTGTCTGCTATGAAACTGATGCTTAGAAGCAAAAGAAAATGTCATGCAGAAGTTGAGCAGAACCATCGTGCGTGCGGTGGCTCGGATATTAAGGTGATGTAAAGTAAGTGTAGACCAACGGGTTCTTATCCATAAAATTTTTATTTTTTTGTTTTATGGAAGCAAAGTTCATCTCCTGGCTAAAAATAGGGTTGAAAGGTCAGTTAGATACAGACCGAAAAGAAAAAAATGCAAGAAAATTTGTAAGGAGGAGCCATGCTTTGCAATACAATAATAAAATGTCCTAATTGAATCGGGACCAATAACAGTGTCTGTTGAAGTGCCTTTTTAATTGTTACTGGTATGATAGAGAAAATCTGCTTAGTTTGCAGTCAGATGAGCATACAAGTCACTAAAACTCTGGAGACTGACTCAATTCAACCATTTTCACCGATAATTAATATTTATTTGTTGCATTTGTCATTAGAAATAGTGACCAGATTTATTTGATTCTCATGCAAACTATGTGCAATGAATATATTAACTTCAAACCACAAGATAAAAATGTCATTATGTAAGTAATTCTTGCAAATTTTGTAATATTGCCTAGATTCAAGGTCTTTTGAAGGTCAAAATGATTATAATAAAATATGTTTTTGATGATTTCCAGCTAATTATAATCACACCAATGCTCAGTTAAAGCTGTGTCACTTGCACTGAAGAATACGACCCCTGTCAATGGATTTTTTTTGGGTCAAATAAGATGCTACATTTAGTCTTGCATGTCAGCTGTAGTTACCCGTTGTTGACGGACAACAGACCCTATAATGCCTGGCACTCCACTTGGGCCACGCTGGCTCTAACACAATGGAATCTTTTAAGCAGGCTTTCTCGGCCCTCCTGTTATCTGGGCTATCAAGTGTAGTTGCATTCCTATCTCCATTTCAACAGCCCCGAAACTCCATCTTGGCTGGGAGGTGTGCTCACTTTCAGATGAAATCTACAGAGGAAGGTATTTAGCTCAGAAGAGAAAACATTCTTATAATTGCTTTGGTTTAAAGGAGCGCATTTTCTTATTTGAGATATTAACGCAGTTGACTGTATGCCACAGAAGTACAGTTCTAGAGTTGACTTACATGTAAACAACAGGTGTTCTGTCAAGCCTCATAAGAAATCAGTGGTCATGAAATGCAAAGTAAAACAAAGTTGATCATTAACTGGTTACAGGTGAGGTGAAGGTTTAACCAAGGCCAGTAAAGCTACATTACATCCATTGAGCCATACGACACAGTGAACGGAGTCACTGCTGATGCGGCTGCTGATGAGACATTACAGCTGATTACCAGAAAAGTAGTTGTATCATTACTAGTCAAAATGCAGAAAATAATCTCTTTAGCTTTAGGTCAGTTTGTGCTGTGACTTGAGTGGGTATCATCACATGCCCAGAGGGAACAGTCTGTCTCTAGGCAATCTCTAACACTCAGCAATTAAGACTTCATTCAACTATAGAGTGTGATACACCTGTGCTTTTTTCCCCTGTACACTGCATTGTTTTATAGACTGCTACTTACCTTTGTATGTAATATTTGGCTTTTACTCATATATTTATGGGGTGCAAATAAAAAAAATATATTTTAAATATTTTGCTCTCCTTTCCTGCCAAAATGTATACAATCCCCAAGGACTATATTGTCTTTTAATTTGTAATGGTGTCTACATGAAATTAAAAAAACACTTTTTTACATTACATTTTTGCTGTCAGGGCCAAACCTTATGACCATGCATTTTATTCCTTCTGCTAACATTCTGTAACTGATGGAGCCATTCACTGTGTTCTTTTCTAGCCCCGCCCTTGTTTGACTGGTTTCGGCTTAACCAGTTTAGCCGCCCTCTCTGTTTACTCTATATAACTTGCCCCAGTAGTACCTGTAGGATCACTTTGCCACTGTGCTGACACAAGTCACTGACTGCCGTCACAGCATCTACACCACCTCAGAGGGAACAACGCAAAATCGTCTCAATGTCATCTGAACAGGAAGATTGCCACCTGTGCAAGGAATACCTCAGGGATCCCGTGTCCATTCCATGTGGCCACATCTTCTGCTCCGTTTGCCTGAAGACATATTGGGATCATGCTGACCACACAGGCTCCTACCTCTGCCCACAGTGCAGGGTCACCTACAACAAGAGGCCCACCCCAAGACGCATGGGAGGCTCCCGGCACTCCACCATCCAACGCAATGCCGAATCCTTTCCACCTCCACCTCCGTCCCCTGACTACAACTACGCAGGACCCCAGGATGTAGGTTGCGACATCTGCATTGGCAAGAAGCACAAAGCCATCAAGACCTGCCTGATGTGTCTGGCCTCCTACTGTGAGAGGCATCTCAAGCCCCACTTTGAGTCAGCCACTTTTAAAAGGCACAAGCTGGTGGATGAAATCGGCCACCTGGACAGACAGATCTGTCCCCAGCATCAGAAGGGTCTGGAGCTGTTCTGTCGCACTGACCAGATGTGTATCTGTGTGCTGTGTACCGTGAAAGAACACAAAGGTCACGACATGGTGTCTGCTGAGCAGGAGAGGGCGGAAGAGCAGGTAGGAAACACTTTACTTATTGTGACAACACTGGTTTGTCAGACTGTCACCAGACTGACAGGCACACTAAGAATGCTACAATGTGTTCTGCTCAACATGAGAAGAACTATTTAATGTCCATGAGCCTCGTCGATTGTGAATCAATGGTGGCACATGCACATATCACGGTGCATTGCACTTG